TGCACCTGGGTCAGGGCAATCCCCAATATCAGTACAGATTCAGTAATGAAATTATTTGGAGTACCCCTGCAGGGAAGGACTTAGGGATACTGGTGAACGAAAAATTGGATATGAGCTAGCAATGCATGCTTGCAGCCCAGAAAGCCAACCGTATCCTGGGCTGCACCAGAAGAAGTGTGGCCAGCAGGCCGTGGGGGGTGATTCTACCCCTCTGCTCTGGTAAGACCCCTAGAGTCCCCAGCAAAAGAAAGACATAGACCTGTTAGAGTGGGTCCAGAGGAGGGCGACGAAAATGATCAGAGGCCTGGAACACCTCTCCTATGAAGAATGACTGAGAGAATTGGGGTTGTTCAGCCTGAAGAAGAGAAGGGTGTGGGGAGACCTTATTGCAGCCTTTCAGTATAGAAAGGGGGCTTGTAAGAAAGATGTAGAGAGACTTTTTACCAGGGCGTGTAGTGACAGGACAAGGGTTAATGGTTTTAAACTGAAACAGGGTAGATTTAGATTGGATATAAGGAAGACAGTTTTTATGATGAGTGGTGAGACTTTGGAACAGGTTGTCCGGAGAAGTTATGGATGCTCCATCATTGGAAGTGTTCAAGAACAGGCTGGACCAGACTTTGAGCAACCTGATCTAGTAAAAGGTGTCCACCGTTATAGCAAGGAGGCTGGACTACATGATCTTTGAAGGCCCCTTCTGACCCAAACCATTCTATAATTCTAGGATTATGTTATAATTAATAACTTTACCATATAACAACAATATGATGACAAATAAAGATGCCGTTGTCCCATAAATTAGAGAATACTTGGATTTAGATAGTAATATTTTTTCAAAAAGACCATTTTTATAAAAGTTATTGGGAAAAATTCTGCTGCAAATTACCCAGTGTGAACCAAAATTAAACCTACTGAATTCCCATTGAAATTCACCTTTACTTATGTGGAAACAAAATCAAAAAGTAATTTTGTAACTTGGTTAGCTACTTTGAATAAATGTTTTCTTCAAATGTATTGCTGCAAGTGGCTCAAAACAAAAAGATTGCCTCTGCACACATTTTTCTTCTAAAAAGGGTATAGTAAGAGTTGCAAGGGAAATTCGGAAATCCATCCACATAGTCTCTAATTTATGGGAGGGGGGGAACATCAGATGCAGAACATGAAAATTATTGTTTTTGCAGGCTACTTTGGAACTGAATTGTACTTCTGGAAGTCCCTGAGGTGTCATTGACAGAAGCATATAATGTCTGTGCTTCAATTTGATTATTTGGGGAAGACGGTAAATATGTTAGATGTTAGGTATATTAGTATGAATGCATCCAACTCTTTTCCTTCACATTTCAGAAGAAGTGTCAAACAGCATTAAAGAAATGTGAGTGTTTTTTATGACAATTACAATTTGATGCACAGAAAAATTCTACGCTACGTTAAATAAATAAATGTAAGGAAGAAGACATGATATGTGCATACAGAAAAACAGGCAGAATCACAAAACAGAGAACATCATCATCAAGAAATTTCAGAAGTGTTCACACATTGTCCTGTAAATATTTTACTGTTCATATTTTGTCAATATATATTAAAAATATTTTTTAACTTGATATTTATTCCTGATGCCATTCAGCTTTTTTGCATACGATTTCCTGCACTAAAACCAAACACTACATAATGACATATATGTGGCTGTTATTTATTATTAATTTTTTCATAGGTTAGGATTTCTTATCAATTACGTAATTTTATGATGAGAGTTGACATAATAAATGTTTCTGCTACAGTGTCTTTACATAAACATGTAAGTAGTCTGACTGTTAACATAACACTTTTTTATCATATTTGGTGTTACTTAATAAAAAATCTTGATCTCATACTACCTACCTGATCTTCATTCAATTTATAATTTACATCATATTTTCAAGTCTTCATCAATGAAGTTCAAACATGTTTTATATGTCATCATATTTTGTAATTTAAAACATGACAACTAAGACACCTGTATTAAACAGTGATAGAATTATTCTTACATAATTGTTATGCTGTAACCATTTTCCATATGTAGAGTTGCCAGTCTACATTCCACCACCCCCATACAATAATTGTAATTTAACTGTTCACTTTTTTACTGTGTTTTTTTTTCAACTTTATGTAATAGGAACAGTAGGGGGCATTCAGAGCTTTAGATGCTGGATATGGCTGGATATGATCCTCTGATGCTAGTTAACTGCATTTTAAATGTGTAAAATGCAGTTCAATTAATTAACAGTATACCATATTAAATCCATTAATTCATGTAATATACATTTTTGCATTGTGAGCTTCTCATTTACTTTTTGTGTCGTTCATTACTTTCACCTAAGTTTTTAGAAGCATTTCTTTTACATAGTATTTTAATAAAATAGATGAAAAGTAAAGATGTATTACACATTAGTTGCAACAATTTTAAAACGATGAACAAAATTATTTTCTTAAACTGAAAGCACATACATTCTTAATGTGTTCCTTACCAAAAAAAAAAACAAACCAAAACAAAACAAAAAAACAAACACACTAGGAAAAAAAGTCTGACTTGAGTATATTATTTGCTGTGGTGAAAAGGTGTCAGGAAAAATGGCAATCTTTCTCCCCAACTCTCAGAAGAAAAAAGAAGGAAGAAAAAAAGCCCAGGATTTCTTATAAACTGTAGCTTTAACTCCACAGATCTGAGAGAAGCTATGAGAGCTACGAGGAGCCATCTGCCTTGTACAGATTATCAGCAAATAAGCAAAAGCCTTAGAAACCTACAGATTCATAAGAAGATAGGATAGGTATTAGGGTGATGAGGCCACTCTGGTGTTATCTGAGGATATGTGGGGGGAGATGGCTTTATATCAACATGGCATTCCTCTCATTCCACAATATGGATAATATTCTCCTGTGTAGAGTACTAATTAGCACTGGAAAGTCAGTGCCAACAAAGTGGTCCACCTCCTAAAGCTGGCCACTGTCTAGAGTGGAACACCAGGGGATTTACAAGGTCAGAACAACTGTGTTGTACGAGTTTAATTTCAAAGTTTAATATGATCAAGACTCCCTTAAGAGACTTAATGTCCAACATTTCTTAAGAGGATTTCTCACGCATTTTCCATTATAAAGTTTTTGGGTAAAATGCATAAACAGCAGGAGATCTAACGACCTTTTTTTAGTCAATGGGGCATAGAATCAGATGCATCCCTCCTTATTTGCTCCAGTGATCAAACCAGAGAGACTGGACAGCTCACCTAATCAAGCTTGAGAATATTTTAGAAGTTTGGATGTATATGTGGGATTGGGAAGATGTAGGTTTGAATTTACATTTCTCTTCCCGATCTTACTGAAACATCTTTTTCACTATCCCTCTCTCTGAAGTTCCTGCATAGCTTCCACTTTTCTGTCAGTAGAGTACAAGGAATCTCTTCAAGCAAATGAATAACATGCAATCAGAAAGTTGCTTTTTTATTTTGTTGCAGAATTAAAACTGAAAAGAACATCTTCCTTGACAAAAGATAATCCTACAATTCAACTGGTTCCATCCTACACGCAACAGCTGATGAGAATGAGAAACTCAGAGAAACTCCTGATCTGCAACTCAAACCACAGAATGACAAGTTTTGTTCTTTGTAGTTTTTCTTGGATGAGCCAGGGTATTATAGGATTTCCCAGAAGACTGTCACATAGGCTTACTTTATTACTTTATTTTCCTGTATTTCCTGCACTAATACCTGATATTCATATCATAGTTATTGTATAAATTCCAATGACTAAGCATATAACCTCAAATATCAAATAGATTAATCAAGAAATGGCATCTCACACTGGTTAAGTGTTTGCAATTCAGGTCTAACATTTCTAATTTGCTCACAGTTTGCCTTCCAGCCACACTAATGTAGACACTGAGAGCACGATTCATTTGTTAGATTGTACTTTGCATTTGAGGTGCTGTAGGGCACCCTACCTGGAGTCCATCAGCCACTCCACAAGGACACGGATATTCTGAGTATCCTCTGCCATACCTTCAGGCCCATACAGATGTCTCAGGTACTGCAGGGCCTTAGAAGGTACTACATTTCTGTGTTTAGGCAAATAATTCCTGCCTTACTTTTGCCCACCTGAATCACCCTGTTGGCTCCTGGGATTACACTGACTAGACCTCTGTGGAATAAAACGGTGCATATACAGGCAATGTAGACACTAAAATTTAGACCTGAATCTGGAGCTGACTCCCACCTTTACGTTCAAATAACTTCCTGATTACCCTGGCAAATTCAACAACTTACGGTTACTACTCATATTTCACAGCCTACTTCGAGTCCTCAAGCAGTTCAGCTGACTATAGATGGTGCCAGATGTTAATCGCCTTCTCTCTTTCTATTTCTAAATACTAACCCTACAAATGGACCATGTAAGAACATACAGAATAAAAACAGAAGGTGTGCCATATGTTTGACAACAGAATGCAACGTATTTATCCTGCCCTTACCCGCTGTAATACTCTCATCATTTTTTCCCTAGTATTTATGTATCCTTTCTGCTGCACATGCATACATGCAGTCCATCTAGTTTGTCCTTTATTTCTGCATATTAGTTCATTTACAGTACGCTCAAAATATACTAAGAATATTACTTTTATCTCAAGGTTTTTCAGGAATTTAACATCTAATAAAGTTTAAAGAGAGAGTTTATGCAAATTTACATCAATAGATATATAAGATGCATAGAGTATGTCTTCATATGATTTTTCAGAAACAAGCAGAAGGTTTTTTCATACTTTTTTAAATCTAATATCCTTTAGGTCAGTGTCCATCCAGAAGAAAGATATCTGGTATGCTTACATCAGAAGACCTTATCAGTCCTGGAGAAGAAATTACTAAAACAATGGAAAATAGAAAATTTCTTTTTTTTAATTTGGCTATAAATTTGCCAGACCTAAAGAAGATGTACTGCACTTCTCTGATGATGTACACAAATATTTTTTACCACTTCACCTGTTCATTCACTCTGGAGTGTGATGGCCCATGATGGATGAGAATCTTCACAATGTCTACATCTCCTCTCCACGCAGCCAAGTGAATAGGAAAATAACCTTTATTATCTGCCACATTAGTTGATGCTTCATACTGAAGTAATTTCAGAACTATATCCCTGGAAAACAGGAAGTAAATCTAAAAGTTGATGGAAAGTTTATTTTATTAGGTTTTTACACAAACATACATATTACCAAATTTTTTACCCCGAATAACAGAAAAAAAACCTGTATTTCAAGTGAAATTGCTACAAAAATGAAGACTAATCATTTCTAAGAATGAAACAGATAGTAAAACATAGTCAACATGTTATTCATTGTAATGTTCCTTATTTCTTATTAAAAACCATCAATAATACTAATATCTATTTCTTTCAACAGGATCACCTGACCATGGAATCCTTTTTAGATTTTGCCAGTCAAGGCCACGTGCATGTCCCTCAAGACAAACCTTCCAGGCGCTACAGGCAGAGAAGTACTCCTGTGCTGAGTTCTGGAGGCAGGGAGACAACAGGGTAGCTTTATGGACACTGTTCTTGCAGTGAGGCCTAAAAGTAACAGGTTTTCTTCTCCTTTAAGGCAGTTCTTTTGGAGGAAACAATTTAATGATGATATAGTCAGATATATACTATCTTCTATGGAATAACTGCTTCTATTTTCCTTTCCCACACCCAGCTTCCTGAGAGCACTGAAGAAAAAAGTTATTTTCATTATTTTAATTCTTATATTCCTTTCAGTATTTTCAGTGTGGCTTATGATACATTAAATGAAAGACTAGTATAAACTGGTATATTGCATCCCTGATTTTTAAGTAGTCTCCTGTACTTAATTTCAAAGGTTAAACTTAAAAATCAATTGTGTGGTATGATCATTGGTTATCAAGGATGTCAAAAATTAAATCAATTCTGTCTTACCTCTCCATTTGTCTTCTCATAGTTTGACACAGTCAGGCCTCATTAGTTATTAAGTTAATAGCATCTATGATCCAGTGCGGGCAGTTCTATGCACATTTTTGCTGAATATGGAAACACTGTCTCTTAACAATTTTGCTCAAAACATCAGGGAGGGGGAGTGTGGAAGAAGCTAGATGCAGCCTATGTTATGACTACAAAAGAAGGCCTTGACTACAAATTAAGACAGAAAGTAAATCCTGAGGCAATTGTTCTCCCAGCCTTGATGGAACCTTATTTAATTGCCTATTGAGACAAAAATGTGGCAAGAGTGAATATATCCAGGTCAAAAGGAACTCCCAATTGTCCCCAAAAGAAATCATAGAGATAATGGAGTCGTCACATCTAAGCCTTGAGGGAGACTTTAAACTGAATTTTGCTTACTCCTGACAAGGTCAAATAACATGAAAACAACCAAGAAAGAACAGCTGCGCTACAGAATGACTTTTGATACACCAAAAGTTCCAGAAAAGTGACTCCCAAGACTTTTTAGTACAAATAAGGTTGGAGAGGCTTCTTATGTTGTAATAGTTGGTCTTACGGTAGATGGTCTAATGAAGGCTAGAGATACAGTGTAGTTTGAAAGGGACACAAATCAAAGGAAACAGAAATTGAAATATGTGGAGGAAAACCAGCAAAAAAAACCCAGCAAAAAAGCCCTCCACAACTGAAATCTATAAATAACGATATACAGCAACTATTGGGAAAAGTCAGTTGCAAGATTCAAGCTACAATATAGAACCTAGGTCTCCTTCATCCTTCAAGAATGCCCTGACCCATCACATTTCTCCAGGGTGAGTCTTTTTTAGTACTCTGTCAGAACGTTTTCATTTTGTAGAATTAAATTTCAGAGAGCAGAAGTCTGAGAGTCCTTAGCCCAGTAACATTACTGGGCTAAGTAAGTTACTTAGGAAGACTGAGATTCAAGTCCCTGGCCCAGATATGATTTAATTACTTACATAAAGCAGAACAGTTTCAAAAGGGAAGAGAACTATCCCAGAATAACCAAGGAGGAGGCAATTCATCACATATAATGATCAAGCTGGGACTTCAACACCGATGTCCAACAAGTGTTCCAGCCACAAATTATTGGTTGGGTCATTAGGTCTTACGTTCTCACTTTTCCTGAAAAACTTTGATATCTCTCAAGTTCATCCTACTGTAAAGTGTTGAAAATTAAAACCCCCGAAGTTTTCAAAGGACAAGGACTTCTCCTAAGCGGAAAGGCTCTCATGTCAACAGGTTGTATCTAATATTGGTTTTGAATATCAAGTTTCAAATCTGAAACAGTGTAAAGCTATTTGCTTGTTATTTGCTGTCACTAACAAAATTACAACCACCAAGCGTCTGTCCAGTTCTCTTGCTGACAGTGCTACCATTGTAGCGAGGTCAGTACAATGGCTTGGATAGCAGCAGGTCCTGAACCGTCATGATTTATCATGAAATACCTCATGATGTATTTCAGTTTACTTTACTATGACAAGCTACAAATGTGATGTCAAGAACTGCTAAGTACCCTGCTCTGAGGGTAAAGGGTCATAGCAGCCAGTGGCCATTATGACCTGTTCAAAAGCAGCAGTTATATCTGCTGCTGTACATAAGTCCGTATCTTGAAGTTATCTCTGACCTCAGCAGAAGTTTGTCCAACACTGTCTGAAAATGCTATTTGGCTTTTGTATGTTTTGGGATTTTATAGTTCATATTGCTAGGATTCACTTGAAATCTCTGATAGATTCAGAGATAGATTCAGCAATATTTTTACTTTGGTGGCTAACTATTGGTTTATAGTCAGTATTAAACATACTAAAATCAGTTTTCACCTATTTAAAACCAGCAATCTTTGCAAGCTGAGGCTTGGGCTTTTGTCAGTCAAAAATGTGCAACAGCACATGAAATGGTGCCAATGGCACAGAAACAATCCATAAACTATAAACAAGAGAAAGGTGATATTCTCCCTTTTTAAAAAAGACTGAGTTTAATAGACCATATTAAGGACATAGACCTAATTCCATGGAGCTAAAATATATTAATGGATTATTCTGACTTTTGCTTCAGAACTGAAATTTTGGAAAATGAAAAACATCTAGTTTAAAAGAATTTAAATTTCATTTATTTATTCAGAAACAGAATATCCCATATTCACCAAAAGATTAACCTCATCTAAAGAAAATATGCAAGCTTCCAGAATACAATTAAAGACACATGCTAAAGCTTTAATTTTTTCAAGCAAGAATGTAAAAATTGCAAAATGAGTAAACTAAGTATATAATTGTTACGGATTCATACGTTACCTTACGGACAATCCATAAATACATTAAAGCTAGTGCAAATCACTCTCAGATTCAGCTGGGTTTTGATCAGTTCCTTATCTCCCACAGAGGAATAACCCAAAGCCTTACATAAAAATTTTCCTTAGTGAAAACCCAGACAGAGTTAACACCATCAGTTTACAAACAAGATAGCGGGACTGTGTTAAGTGGGGCAGCTCCTACCTTGGTTACAGTGTGGTCCATCCCACTAGAACTTTATAGACCTCGTTAAAATCTTTCTTTCTTGTTCTGCCTTATTAACAACGTGCAGTTGGCAGCATAATACAATGGAGGTAACATGGCAAGGGGCAACATGTAATAACAGAGGTAACGCAGAACAAATCCCAAGGTGTAATAACAAAATATGTAGCAAGTTTCCATTTTTTTAATGACACATCAATGCCTTAAAGAGTTCACCTGCACTGGTATGCCTGTGCAGTACACCTCGGTGGGGATTTCGTAGGCTTTCCCCAAGCTCGTTGAGACATGCATGTGGTAACTTGGATGGACAGCAGGGAGGGAAAAGCTACAAGGTCCCATAAAAGGTCATAGCCATTTTTTTTCTGCTTTCAAGTGTATAACTATTAAATATTCTTATCATGCTACTTTTAAGTTGATAATGGTTAAGTTAATACTGTTCTTTCGTTCCACAATATTGCTTCCTTAAACATTCCATGCACTATACATTTGTACATACACACACAAGTATACTACAAAATTTTCTGTTGCAATTTCCCACTAGCTAAAAAGCCTAAGAGCCACCACTAGCAATAACAATAATAAATTTACTCAAAATCAGGCAAGAGTTTGAAAGAACCAGTACAGAATCAGTAACTTCTAAACTGCTTTTCCTATTTTTTATTACTACATGCTGATATCAATGACAGTGTCAAAAATTCTTATATTAACACATCCCATGGGAAATAAGACGAATTTAATAGGACAGGGTTTGTCAACTTTCTGTGAAAATCTCAGTGCTATGTTACATATTTTTAAGTTAAATACCATTCTACATAAAAACTAAATGCAAGGCACTTACTTGTGTCCATTTAAAGCTGCGTGATGTAAAGCAGTATAACCTGAGCTGTCTGTGCAGTTTATATTTGGTCCTCGCCAGATGCTGCAAATAAAGCACAATTTTAAAGTTATTTTTTTGGCTTGGCAAGTACAGAAATGTCAAAAATTTGACGTATACGTAATCTAAAGATTACTGCAACAAGTGTGATTAAGCTTTAAGAGACAAATTATGTTGAATAGAACTTAAAATGTCATGTTGATATCAATATAATTTATTCATAAATGTAATTTTACACATTCATCTTTATACCAGTCATGAAATTTATGTAGGGCAGTCTCAAAGAGTGATAACTATTCTGTCATTTCAATTAGATCTGTTCTCCCAGTATGACTGTGGTAATTACACTGAGATTATAATCTGACTTTGCACTACTTTTTTCACAAGTATATATTCATTGACTTTAGGTCAGTTAGTCTAGATTCATACAAACATAAGATTAGTAAGATCAAATCATACCCTTTAAAGAGATAGTTAATTTATTCTTTTTACTTGGCCTGACATTTTAGCTCCCATTTTAACCAATTATATTTTAAAATAAATTACATAGATATAAACCAAAAATTTAATAAATTGTGTTTCTTATTTTTTGTTATCTTTCTGTATTTTACAGCACTTATTTTACAGTCAGCTTCATTATATCTCCCATGTAACCAGTTTCATGATCTATTATGGATTGTTCACAAGACAGTAAAAGAGATTTTTTATTTCAAAGTAGAAAAATGTGACTGCTAATCTAAAAAAAAAAACCAACACCCCAAACCAAAAAAAAAAAAAAAACAAAACAAAACAAAGCACCAAAATTGGATACCAGAGGAATACTGAGTACGTGCAGGTTTTTCCTAACTGACTACATTTCAAGCTGACTATATCATTTGTGGAAGCAATTTCCTACCTATTTTTTTTATCCTGTAACACAGTTTTCAATCATTAGTATTATAACTTCTAGGACACAAGATTGTGAGTCCTGAATTACAGTCTGTTTTCTTCAGTTTCTTATACAGTGCTAAACAGCCATTGGCAAGCACTATTTTCCCTTCACTTTATACCTTAGAACCAAGAGCTGCAATTTAAAGAAAATAATCTCAAACTAATAGGTAAAAAGAGTTTTTCATACTGATATTTTTCATGACCTACATCAATAAAATGACATGGTATGCTTAACATATGCTTTTTAAGAATTCTCTACTACTGAATCTGTTTTTATGTCCAATGGAATACTGGTGTTGCAGACTGGCCTCTTTTTCATTGTGTGTGTTTGAATGATTAATTAGCTCATAAATTTAAACAGGTTTTTTTCCATAAGTAATCATGCATACAGAATTATTTGTGTGACACATTGTGTTCTGCAGTGAGCGTAATTCTACATAGTTCTGGGTGCCTCACCTCACCCTGCAATTTAATTTCTTGGAAGAACAGGACTGAAACATTTTCTTGGTAGCAAAGAAGCAAAAAATGAAGGTTTTTTTTTTTTTTTTTAAGCTGCTCAGAAGTCTACAGATGTTCTTTTCTACAGAAGGCAACTTCCAGCTATGAAAGTCACTCTAATCTTTCCAATTAAAAGAAATTATTTTAACTTCATGAATGATAGCTCTTCCATAATAAACAGATGTTCTTTATATGGCAAAGACAGCTGTCCTTATCTATTGGAAGGAAAGGAGTCCTCATCTATTGATATTCTAGAAACTCTTTTATATTTTTGCACAATACTTTAATAGTTATTTTCTTATTTATTGGATTCTACTTTCTTCCTTTGATTTGTACCAGCTTACAGGAGAATGAAGCAGAAAAATGAAAGTGGTATAGAAAGTCATACTTGAAATATTAAAATAAATACATAAACGACCAGAATATTAATTTACATGGTTTTGCTTGCCTGCTTGCTTTGGTTTACAGTTGTTAGGATTTGCCTGTTGGTTGTTTTTTAAAAATGCAAGGGATCCATGAATTCATATATTATTCATGATGCATTAGGCCTTAAAAAAAAAAAAAACAGAAAACAAACAAACAAAAAAAAAATCAACACCCAAAACCCTAGTTCTTTTCTCCCCTAATTTTTTCCTTTAATCCAGGCACTCTTTAATGCATTGTTGTACTTCCTGGCTCTGGTCTTAGGAAATATTTTTCAACTGAAACTACACTGATTTATTTTTTTTAAACTGAAACTTTATTAATAAGTATATCAATGCTCCTATGTGAAGCTTCTCAGGACACTCAGATTGGGAGACAAAGGAAAATGAGTAAATCCTGATCACTCAGAGAGATGAGACAGGATGGACAGAGGAATCGCTGTCAGCTCCCTAAGAGTACAGAAAGACATGCTCAAAATCAGAACTTGGTTATCAAACTAAAGAACACAGGAGACATGAGCAGGACTTGGCTACAGGCATCTCTTTTCCCTTGGGCCAGTGCAGAAACCCACTTCTAGGAGATCTTGCATTGCTACAGTATTGCAACATGGTTTTCTACAAAGAGTTCAGGTTGTACCGAGTTCAGGTTCATTATATACATTAGCTATTTATGCCTTAATAACTGACAACCAAATTCAAATTGGACAGTCTGTAAATAGATATTCTTACACCCTAAAACTCCCTGCTGTGTTGAATAGTTCATCTAAAGCTTCTCTCTTGTAATCAAAATAGACAAAGGCAAAAGTACAGTGGTGTATTAGCACCGTAAAAAAACAGCTGACTTCATAGAAAAGTGGGATGGAGAAAGATAAAAAGTCTAGAGTCCTTCTTTGGCATCATAAACACATACAATATATGAGCAATTATCAAACATATTGATTTATCTGTGTATTAAAACACTTCAATATTTACTGTGAAAGCAACACTAAGGAGAACTTGGAACAAAACAAATTACCACTCAACCTCCAAAAAAGAAGATTTTGACAGAAGATTAGCAGGTCTTTAGATTACAGTTAATACTGAATGTTCTCAAAAATATGCTTCTCCTAATTCTTTGATGCAGTCAATAATCAAGCTTCTCAATTTTACATACATTAGTAATTTAGGATTTTTTTTTTCCTATGTATATCCACTAAATTAGGAAAATCTTTGCATCACTTAATGAATTTTAAGAAAGTAATTGAACCTACTTTTTGTGAAAAAAATCAGTTTTCAGTCAATGATGAATTAAAACTCCAAATTAAAATATGATCGGCAATTAGTTTTTCCATTATAACTTGCCAAAGTGAGGCACAAAGAAACTGAAGTCTGTTATGTTACTTACATTATTACCAAAAGCAGAAAGACCTTCTTATTACAGTTTGCTCTCACTGTGGACAAAGAATATTGACCTTTTGAACTCATGTCAAGTATTAATTGGAAATACTCTTTACTTGGTAAGAAAATTAACATTTTTTCTTTTTTATGAGCTGAAGATAATTACATATAAAGAGTAGCATTTCAAAAGTGATGTGAAAATGACAGACTAAAGAAAAAGACGCTTAGTTGATTGATTTGTTATTTTGCTATATGAAAAAAAATAAATTGTGAAGTGGCTGTTGTTACACACATATGAACACAAAAGCAAGGAAATCAGAAGTTAATTCAGCCAATCTTCATCACACAGCCACGCTCCCTGTCAACAGTACAAGAACCATGCATACATGCACAGAACGTCCATCACAACTTTAAATGTTTCCATCGTATTTCCCTTCTGTACGTATATTTTCATTATATTATTTCACTATTTCATTATTCTTATATTATTGTTTTATTATTACTTAATTATCCATGCTCTAATATTTATGGTCTTTATATAGTAGTTTTGCCAAGCTGAAAAGAAAATATTGTTGTAAAACAACGATAAGTCTTTATAGGCCATAGGAAGCTGCCTGATTACATCAGTGTCTGTCTGCCCATTGGTTTCACTTAAACCTTATCTGACAACTGTCTGTAACTCTCTTTGGAATTTATTTCTTCTCTGAAATGAAGTGGCCAGGAAAAGGATAACACTGACTGGATGGAATCAGTTCCTCCAGAGGAGATGGACAGTGCATGGTGTTCATGTCTCCATATTTTAGGGTCTAAACCCAGTTGAGGGCTGAGAAAGGCTTAGCATATGTCGCGTCCTCACCCCTCCCGCTCCTCTTCCCACCTTCTTTCCCAGGTCTTCAACATCTGTGGAAGCTCTTCTGAGAGACCCCCTGGCTCTTCAGGACTATAGAAGCAGTGACTCTCATCTTGCCTGGTTGGTTTTAGTAGTGGGAAATCCTAAGCTTCATCCTGTTCCCATTGATGTTGGTGACAAACACCAAGCAGCTCAGATTAATCTAGTTTCCTTATTGTTCCTGCGTTTCACAGAATAAATACGTATACAGGAATTTGTATTGTTCTAAGCCAAAATCTCCCCAAATTTCCATGTTTATTGTTGTTACTCTGACAGAAACACATTGCCTAAAGTTATTAGAGCACATAGCCAGGCTCCTATATTCATTAGTGCCCTGCCTGCATTCATACACATTTTCAGTCATGTAAACTGATCTTATACAAAATATATGGACAATTTTACAAAGCTTTTTTGAAAATGAAAACTTTTACACAGTAACGTCTATCATCAGTTATTCAGACACAAAATAATAATGTTACTTATTGTGAACAGCAGCAAAATAGCTCCCATTCTCTATTTTATGCACAAATAAATCAAATTGACAACCATGTTGCGCTGTCCTGTATAAATTAATAATGTTACTTATCAAACATAGAAGTGCTTCATTTTAGTAAATGTGATATTTTTTCTTTCTACAGATTCCTCTTTGATGAAATCCACTTGTTGTGGTTTTGGCCAGACTGGCCACTGAGGTGAACAACGTGTGCTCTGTCTGACCTCTCTCTCCAAGGACATGGGTGAGAGAGAGAAAGAGACTCATGAGTTTACAAGAAACTAAACTACTTTAATGAAGTATTAGTAATAAAATAATAAAAAGGAAATAATGAAATATATACAAAACTGGATCAAGCTCCCAGGATGACAATCACATCACCAGCTGGCACTGGGAAAGTCCCAGACTGCACTCAGTGATGGATGGGAGCTGGACT